GTGGTGCGGATTGAGTCCCCATGGGGATGTTCAAAGCCCTTTTGGGGGCTCCTGGGGGTTCTGATTGAGTCCCCATGAGGATGTTCAAAGCCATTTTGGGGGCTCCTTGTAGTACTGACTGACTCAGTCGGCTCCTGGGGATACTGAGTCCCCACGGGGATGTTCAAAGCCATTTTGGGGGCTCAGTCTGGGCCCCCCAGCACTGACTCACCTGACAAACTGATCTCTGCCTCCCACAGCAAACTGGTAGGTGTTGGCTGGGTTCACGTAGATGGTGTACAGACCCACTTTCTTCTCCTTTTCCTTTGTCACAACCAGTTTCCTTTAAGAAACGAGGAAAAACAGTAACAACAACAACAAAAAAATCCACCTCAAATTCAAAACAAGGTCCAGATGGGAAAAGCAGAAGCTTCGTGAGTCTCTTACTCACTCCCAGAGAAAAAAAAAAAACAACACACCACCACCACCAGCAACAAAATAAACCCAAAACAACCCCAAACCCCAACCATTTCAGCTTCCCATGCTCGTGTCTGCGACTCCAAACGGTGCAGAGAGTGAAATCATCCCTTTGAAACATCTAAAGGATTTCAGGGCCTGAACTCCAGCCTGACAGGCAGAATGGGATTAAATCCAGAGCAGAAACACTCTGCTGTTATTTCCCCCCCCCCCATCCATCCATTTCGCTGTAATAAGGCCCAGATTTAACCAAAATCCTCCCTCCTTCCTTCCCTCCCTCCCTCCCTCCCTCAGGGATTAAATAGTTCAGCTTTACAAGCGACGAATACAAACTGAGGCAGCATCCTCAAGAAGGAATAGAGAGCTCAAGTGAGCTCAAAAGCAAGCTCAAAAGTGAGCTCAAAAGCTTCTCTTTCTTCTAATTATACCATTTGGTTTAATTAAAACCAAGAGCTGCCTCCAGTCTGCCTCTAATCCCTGCCCTCTCCACGCTCCCAGGGTGACAAATGCCTGCGAGCCATAAACCCAAACAGCAGCAGCAACGTGGATCCTCCATAAAGGGAGAGGAGGGACAGACACACATCAACCTCCTGACCAACAGACTCTTCTCCAAACAGAGTGGGGGGGGGGGGGGATGGATGATGAGGATTAAATGTGGTTGTTTTGAAAAGCCCTGGTATTATTTTTTCTTGGTCCTGGTTATGAAACAGATGGGGTTTAAGGCTGTAGACAAAAAAGATCTGGCACAGATAAATAAACCCCCCCAAATCATTGAGAAATGAGTGTTGAAAGCTTCAGTTTTCAACAGGATCCAGCTTGAAAATAATAGGTTGGTAGGTTGGGAAAATAGCAAGTCACTAAAAGCAGAAATCTCAGATCTCTTGGTGATAAAGGGGTTAAAAATCCAACACACACCACCCGGCTGCTCACTAATTATTGCGGGTTTTTTGGGGGTTTTTTTTTTAATTAAGTGCACTAAAGCTCACGAGACAAACGAGTCAGGAGAAGGAGCTGCTGCCAAGGTGGAGAGATTTCAGTGCTGTGATTAATCAGCCACTTGATTTGAGCTCAGGACCCTCAGAGTTGAGCCCTTTTGGCAGCCACACGCGTGTGTAAGGACCTGTCACATCGAGATTATTTCTGTTTCCTGTGTAAACAGGGTGGATTCCTAAAAGAGGATGAAGGTTCAAATGGATTTGGCTAATTAACAAAGCTCATATTTGTATGATGTGATGGTCAGAGCTGGACCAGGGTCTAATCCCCACACCTCAGGGAAGTCAACACTGTTTGAAAAAGCTAAAAAAGAGCTTTTTTTAATCTGTTTTCCCTATTCTGTGCCCATAAAACAGGCAGCACGAGCAGCTCTACACAGCCCAGTGTCACTCACTCACACCAGGGGACACCCCAGTGTTCCCCCCCCAGAGCTTCCCCAGTCCTGGCAGTGGGGAAAGGGGGTGAGGAATACTCACGAGGCGGGTCGGTCTTGTCTCAGATCGATGGTGAAGACTACAGCATCTTCACCTGCTGATAGGAAAGTGCATGGAGAATCCGGTTCTAGGGCCAGCTGGAAGATAAATACTTGGGCATTGGTTCCCTTCTTTTTTATTTTTAACCCAACAAAGTGACAAGATTCCCTTTTTCTCCCCCAAAAAAACGTTGGCTGTTAACAGGAGCCAAACTCTTTACACCCACATCACGTTACAGGGCACAGAGACCCTCCTCACCCCCCTCAGCGATTAAAAATCACACAACAGTAGCTCTACCCTCATGATTTCTGGTAGCCAGGGAGGCAGGACAACCCCTGGGTGATTTAAGGGGGGTCTTCAGGTGTCCCCCACCCCACTAGGCTCACCTTATGTGAAGCTCCTTTGTGCTGTGCCACACGTTTGGTGTTTTTACAGCACTGGGTGGCAGAGAGTTCGGCCACCCGGACCTGCCCGTCGCGGGCACACATAGCCAGAGTGGAGTCACCACTGTTGGGGAGGAACTTGGCCTGGAAAAGAGTAAATAGAGGGGTGGGTGGTAATGCTGGGGGAGGGGGTTGTGTGTGTTTACAGTGAGAAATGGGGTGAAACAAGAGAAAAATTGAAGCCAGTTGATTCCTGACAGACCCCAGTGAGCCCTGGATGCTCAGGGAGCGACTGCAAAGCTTCCAGCTCGACGGGCTGAGCTCCCCAAATCATCACCCCGGCTCTGTCTGGCACACAGGGAGAGCCAGGAACGTGGCAGAGATGTTGCTGGTGTCACTGTCCCCCCAAAACAGTGGCAGTCTGTCCCTCCAGACCTCTCTTTAGGTGGCAGTGCCCATGTGTGAGGTTGTCAGCCACAGCACAGCCTCCTCCAGCCACAGCTCCTGCCCACGGCTGCTCCCCAACCTGCTGCCCACCCAGGGGAGCTCTTGGGGGGGGTCTCACCCCACTGGTCCCAGTCAGGGCTCCAGGAGATGGTGATTTTAGGGGACACCAGTGGGGTTTGATGGTTCATTTCCATCAGGCAGTAGCTGGGCTCCTCCCTCAGCTTTCAACACATCATTTTCCTGCCCCACACAGCATCATCCAGGTGAAATCAGGTGTTTCTAGAGCAAGATCCCACCTTGAGGGATGTTCTATCACCTTCAACCCCTCCCAGGAC